TTTTGTTCATAAAGATAAGCAAATTATAATTATTACGTACATAAAAAATGAAAAGATACAGAGTTATGATGATGGTTGAGTACTGTCAGAGTCGTGGGTTCAACTCGACTCATCCAGTCCATCTACAGTGGTTATAATTTTTTAGCAATTCAGGCCAGATTTTGCAATACAGTATTATAATGTCTCTATGCCTGAACGAGACCCGTGCTAATCGTTTGTTTATTGTTCTGATACAAGGCGAGTAATGTTTTGAGTGCACACACCCTTGAAAATGTATGACTGCATCCGTCAGTTTTTATCCAATCGGGTTTGAATGAATTTCAATACCTCATTTTATATTTGCAGTTGGCATCTTTGTGTTCGGGCTAAAATTCGTTTCAAACGGCTTGTAAGTCTTTTAAATGTGCACCATAATCACTATAATAATAATTATGGTTTAATCATATTTATGAAGTTTTTCGAAAGGTTAAAAATTAATATACAGTTATTGAGGTACCTTATCCGTGTTGAATAAACAACGTTCGTGGTACAGTTTGTGTTTGACGGATTATCAGGGGAATTATCGTTCAGGGCCGTCGCTCGTAATGAATTATTATCTTTTAATTGAAAATATTTGTTAAACATTAAAATATTATACGAGATTAAATTGTAATATTTTCCTAGGGTCGATGAAAAAGCCGTTTAATACTCATAAAAGCCTCATTATAATATCACTGTGAACATTTGTTTGTAAATACCTACGCAAAATACATAACAATCCAATATTCATATATAATATTATAATTATAAAACATAATATATTTTGTTCATTGTTGTTATTAAAAATTAACCATTACATACATTTATATTTTAAAAAATAGGTACCTACTGAAATAACATCCCCTCAAAAGCCAAATGCTGTGCTTGAGGAGAGAGCATATAATAGAATATAAAATATAACTTACAAGATAGTACTTATTATATGGTTCAAAAATGCCTGATTATGTCTCAGATATAAAGAGTAGGTACCAGTTGCATCTCTCGGTAAACATTTCTCCCGACTTTCGACTCAGAATTTTTGGGTAGGTATACTGGAATTGCCTCCCGTTTGATCCTCGAATTTTCAACCATTAATTATTTTGCAATGCCGACTATTTTAGATAACTAACCCTCTTCTACCGAATCACCCCTGATTGATAAAATAATCGATTTCTATTTTGAATATTATTTGAAGTTGAATAACATTGATTGAACGCACACACAATGGTGTGATCATATTTCAATAAATAATCATAATATAATATAGTTAAGACGAGAGTCATAAATGGGCCTAAACTGCCCAAATTAACTAGTAAGTATTGGTAAAAATGATAATAGCAAAAATAACAAATAAATAAAATAAAATAATATTTAACAGTGAAAAATGAAAGCGAATAAATTACCTACTGCACTACACATTGTGTTAATAACGATGCCATAAAAACAATATTTTTGAACAAACGAAAATTGATATAATAATCGACAGCCTATACCCAATATCGATATATATACATATATGGGAGGCAATTCGAGTAGATACACAGTACGCAGATTGGGCGCACTCGAGTTGGTGCAATTTGAGTTAAAAAATTTCACATAAATAGATAAATAGATTTGGGAGGTTATTCGTGTGCTACCGGAATTTTTTAGAGTACATAATAATTAAAAATATCAAAAATAAATATTATACAATATGGAACTTAATTTTCCTACTAATTTTTTTCCCAGACTGTATAATATGCACATCATCGTTGCTGCAGGTATGTTAAACAACATGTTTTAACTTTTTTTATTTAAATTGACGTTATAATATTTTTTTTTAATTTATATTACGATATTGGTAAAAAATGAATTGATAATGTTTATTTTATTTTTTTAAATTTGTTTGTTATTCCGTAATTTAACAGTCCACGATAATAATACGGTATAATATGGTTTTTAACGTACTATAAGCAAACGAATAATGAAGACGTGAAACTTAAAGTTTACAATATTAATAATATTGGTTTGTGTTTTTCGCTGAACATTTGGGATATTTATGCAATACAAGATTAGCGATCAAAAAGCACTGGCACTAAGGTAATAAGTAATATCTTGCAGCATGTACAATATAAAACACTATAGGCCGTTAAATAAATAATAATTATCATAGTTTTTCCTCGCATTCTTTTGTTTTTATATACCTACCGTAGTTGTTGTACAGCCGAGTCCCACCAGCTCTGCAATTTTCCAGTTTATCCGCTTTTTATTTATACATTAGTTAATGAACTAGAAATGTAGAAACCACCATTCGCAAGCCCGGATTAAAACCATTAGGGCCGCTACTTAATCCCGAGCTACTTAATACATGAACCACCGCCAACGGAAAAATAAATATAAATATTCTAAAATAGACGATTGGCGAAAAATTCATGTCCGTTTGGAAAAGACCACGGTGGACGTACGACTTTGGTGCATATTAAACAGCCGCACGTATGTATATAACACCGATTTTATAGATTGTCACACGAATAAAATATATATGAACATATACATATTACGATATCATATTATTTATTGATTTTTTTAGTATAAATATCGTCGTAATACAATAACTTTAAAAACAATATTTTTTTAGGCTGGATACACGGTTTTCGTTTCTGACCGATTTTTCGTTGTCGTGGTTACTTATTACCAAAAACATATTTAGGAGTCATAGATTTTCTTTGTAGGGGAAAAATAACATCGAGTACCTTGCTATGGTTTTTTTTTCTTAGTTTTTCCTATAAAACGAAATATCTGTAAAACGAAAAAAACAAGGCAAAAACTATAATGATTTTGAGTTGCACAAACAGCACCTCGTGGGCAAGCTTGTTGGAAAACCTCGTTGTTTTTATATTTCGAACCTCTGACGAGGACGACCAAAAGAGCTGATTGAAACTAATAAATTCAATTTTAAGTCGTACGTTTGTAATTATACAACCCGGTCCTGTGTAATTTAAATATAATATATATCACGAGCGGGCGTACCACGGTTCATTTGCGCTCGGAAATTCAACTGCGATGTCCTGGGTCTCTAATAAAACCTCTGACACGGTAGTTGCGGGTGTGTGTGTGTGTGTGTACTGTGGAGTGTCCGAAAGCTCGTCGGGACTCCTGTTGGGGGGGGGGGGGTCGGCATTTTTAATCATGTGATTCATCATGTTACTTAATAATTATTTATTTTGCTCAAACAACACGCGTGCGGTACAATAATAATACGACCGCAACGTATAAAATACAAGAACAGTTGATGACAACGTGTATGATGACCCACTCAAAATCGGATGGACAATCCTAGTATGTAGAAATTGCGGAAAAATACGATTTTTTTTTCCATTTACAAAACAGTATTACATACATCGACGGTAAACAAGAACAGTATTATTTAGAATTCACTTATATAATATAATATTATTATGCAATGTTCAATAATTCACTATACGCCACTATTATGCAATCCATTTATAGCGAAAGAGCAGAACTCGGCTGTAACGTTTTACTGCATTTATTATTTATCTCTGTAAAATCTACATACCTACATACTATAATTTAGGTACCTATTAAACTGTTATATCATAAGGTCTAAACGGCACTTGAGTACTTGCAAATAACTTTATCGTATTATAACCATGTATTAAAAGTATATATTTTAATAACTGAAAAATACTGCAGTAAAAAATATTATCGAAAACGATAAGTACAGCAGCCTCCCCCCCCCACCCCCAAACCCACCCTATAAAATTGTTGTATTCTTTTAAAATTATTATTTAGCAGTAGTGTAGCAACAGTATGCTAGACTATTTTCACATTTTTCAATCTTTCGTTTAATCATGAAACAAATAAATCTAAGGGTGGGGCTAATGTTTGCTAATTGACTGCTGAACGTTGACTTTAAACAAATGTCAACATTTCGATTGGGTGCTGTTGGAGACATGTACTTTAAAACAATGCTTCGACTAGGTTAAAAATAATAGTTGTGTATAGGTATTAATGTTAGATCAATAATCATAATATCGGTTTTCCATTGCAAATGATCGGTATTTCAATACAAAATCAGTTGTAATTTTTTCACTTCATAAGAAGCATGTAGTTTATACTCAGATTTAGGCAAATCGCAGGTACCTATCAAGGTTATTTGAATTTACAAATAGCTTTTTAACGAGGATGCCATGATTATTGGTTATTTAAATGCATATACGTTTTATCGAATTAATTATAGGTTCTCTTAAGCACGACTTTCTGATCTCTTATTTCTATTTCACAATAATGCGTATTGACTGAAGTTTGTTTAATATCCAACACAAATAAATATGATAAACTTTTTCAACATACTTTTTATTTTACGTAAGCTCTTATAGTCATTTATTACGTTTAAAAGTTTAAAACATCGAGGACAAAAAACTTATATCTTTACAGTAATACAATATTACAATCCCAAGCGACTCTAAATAATAATAATGTAGGTACCTATAGAGAAGCAAAATTTCTTTAGTCAACATGACCAAATATTATTAATCATTTTAATGGAATTCATCCGATCACAATATTGTATGACTGCACTTAAATCTTATGGAGCGTAAATTATATTAAAAAGGAATTAACTCATAAATACCCAAATTGTATTTCTAAAAGGGAAAACATGTTTTGCTTAATCGGCTTGTAACGAAAATCGAAAGTTTTTTTCCATCAATATTATGTATTATAGTCTCAAAATCTAACCTAAACCTTTTCGACCAGGTAGTAAAATAAAAATACCCTTACTTAAACACAATCATAACTGTATTTATGTGTTCGCTACACGTATGACGTATTATATTATCAGCAATTTAAAAACCAAACGTTACCTTTAATGATAACTATAAATATATATAAATTTATATGGACGAAAAGATTATTATTGTTAGTATTGCATATCGTTATCAAATATGTTATACTAATTTATTGTAAACCTGTGATCACAGGATGGATGAACACACTCGCCGAACGTCTGCACAAGGACGTGGACAACGTGACCCACTCAGAGGCGTACATAACTTCGTTGTATTTCACGTGTTCCAGTCTGACCAGCGTCGGGTTTGGTAACGTGTCAGCCACCACGGGGGCAGAGAAAATTTTCAGCATAATCACGATGCTGATTGGAGGTAAGGCTGAAAGAATAATATCTCGCCCTAAGTGTTGTTTGTCGTTGTCTTATCGCCTCTGAATTTACAGCAAGAGAAATAATGTTATAATTGTCTCCCCCGGGGGCTGTGGCAATAAAGTGGGTTTTAGTTAAAAAGTGAATTATTCCCAAACTGGCTTAACCCACTTTTGTCATAAAATCTAAAACTAAAAATTATGGTCAAATTTTTGGAGTAAAAACAAATTAGAGTGATTTACGATTTCGAGGTAGCAAAAACCAATCAAGTGTTTGAAATGCAATTTTTATTTAAGCTTATCAATTGGGGATGAAAAATATTACATTATTATTATTATTATAACGTCGGATTAACTTTGTGGCTAATAACTCGAGTCAATTCAGCCTTCGGGTGTACTTACCTAGCTATTATAGCAGTGGCCCCGATCACTTACTTTATCTATGACATATGTCACTGTAGATTTTTAGAGGGAGCACTGTGAGTCATTTTTGTGGGTCTTAAATTTACGTTAACACTTAAATAATGATGGTTAAATAAAAGATGAGGGGATGATGTTGGGGGGGGGGCTAGGGGATGTACGATGTCATAGTTTATTTCAAACACTTCGGCGCCACTGATTACCAGCTGTGTTATACTACTGTAGCGCTCATGCACGCCGTGGTGTTCGGTAACGTGACGGCCATCATCCAGCGCATGTACTCGCGGAGGTCGCTGTACCAGAGCAAGTGGAGGGACCTCAAGGACTTCCTGACGCTGCACCAGGTGCCTAGTGAGCTCAAGCACAGGATGCAGGACTACTTCCAGACCATGTGGTCTCTAAATCACGGTATCGACATACACGAGGTAATTGTGGGCAGCCATCCGGCGTGCGCCCCGTCACCCCTCCCACCCAAACCTCTGCGGTAGCCATTTCGCCCATTTTAATCGATAGTTTTTGTTCCAGACGCTTAAAGAGTTTCCGGAGGAGCTCAGGGGCGATGTCTCTATGCACCTTCATCGGGAGATCCTGCAGCTGCCTATTTTTGAGTCCGCGTCACAGGGCTGCCTAAAACTGTTATCGTTGCACATCAGGAGCAACTTTTGCGCCCCCGGCGAATACCTCATTCACAAAGGCGACGCGCTCACGTCCATCTATTACCTGTGCAACGGGTCCATGGAAGTCGTCCAGAACGGCATGGTCGTCGCCATTTTAGGTAATCCGAGAGTTGATTTATTTTTTTAAAAACAATTGAATTGTACGTCGTCTGTCATTGGCCGAAACCCTGGAATATGAGTTACACAACACGCACATAGTGATACATATTTGTATTTTACATTGAGTAATGATGATTAATAATTAAACCTATTATATATTTCGATACCATAGTGGTATACGGCCATACGGGTACCTGCTTGAAATCGATTATCTTCTTCAGCGATTCCCGACCTCTTTCGTTGTGAGGACCACAAATTATGTAAAAGCAACTTTTTGAGGCCCACTTACCTAATATACAAATAAGATCATAGAAAATACAATATAAAGAACCTATACAAATCTCGATGTCGATGCCAAGTAAAATTGGATGACCTTTTTGGCTTAGACTCTCGACCCCAAATTGCCAGCGGCCCACAAGTGGGCGCCAGCCCATGGGTCGGGAACCTCTGGACTACTTATATTTGACTTGTCTCGTATTATTACGAGGCTCTAGCATATAGGCAGCGAAAATCGTCGAGATCGAGTATTTAACATCAGACAACTTATCGTGTTTTCAGGAAAAGGCGATTTGGTCGGATGCGATATTAGCACGTGGCTGGGCCAAGGCAGCGGCTCAGGTAACACAGGCGTTGTCGCCGGTGGAGGGACCACCGGTGGTGGAACAGGAGGTGACACGGTGGTCAAGTCTAGTTGTGATGTCAAAGCTTTAACTTATTGTGACCTAAAGTGCATTAATGTGCTTGGGTTGGTAGAAGTTTTGCGGCTTTACCCCGAGTACCAACAGGAGTTTGCAAACGACATACAACACGACTTGACGTACAACATACGTGAAGGATACGAGGCCGAAGTAATTAAACCTCACAAAGTACATATTTTGTTTTAATTGAAAGCATAATATATTATTATTATTAATACTTCTATATATATATAATATATATATACTATATATATATATATTCACTATGATAAACTATTTTTTTTTGCGTTACAAGATATTATGGAATTAACAATAAGCATACATTTCGAGTTAAACTATAATAGATACTGCCGAGAGGATATAACACACTATCGCTTCTTGTGGGTTTCGCTAAATCAAATTTAAACAAAATATTCAGAAAAATAGATGTTTATAGTAAACAACACACAAATAATACGGCGTACCTGTTATTGGGAATCACATGTTTACACACCCCTGTTCTTAGCCGGAATGAACCTAGAAAACATAAAATTATGTATAAACACAGAAAATAATATACTAATAGTCCAGGAGTCCATAGGAATGGAAGTTGGTTTTACAAAATTTAATAATGTCTTCGCTTTTGATTGCTTGTCAATTTGACTTATTATAACAACTAACTTACATAACATTATCATAATCTTAGAATCTTCGTTATTGTTAGGTGGCATGTAAATTAATAACTAGTTAATATTAGGCACTTAGAAAAGAGAGTTAACCAATAATTGGGAACTAATTTTTTGCCGGAACTTTTAAAAAACCAACAAGAATACATAATATTATTGAAAATAATTTTTAAAGATGTAGTTTGAGAGCCCTTGACATTGTTTCTCGTCATTTATGTTAATATCTCTACTTGTTGTATTCCGTAATATTTATAATAACGAACAAACTAGCATAATTCAATTTTAAACCTTTTTTCCTTTTTATTTTGAATTTAATTTGCGTAGGAAATCGATCAAAATGGTATTACAACGTTAACGTTACCTTCGATAAGCGAAGACGATGAAAACTTGCAAGAAGAATGCGATGGATCTCCGAAATCACCTCCTTCTAGATCACCGTTGCACTCCAGTTATAGTCCAAGCAGACATAACCTCACTAAACTATCTCAAAACAGGTACACAATTTCAAAAAATATTAATCTAGCAGGGTATAATGTATACATTGTGTAATGTATGATTGTATAGAAAATGATTAAACCGACGGTAGTAATTTTAAAAAAATAACCATTTCGAAGAAACTTTAAAAATTATAAAAAGTGACCTGGGCTTTATTATGTCGTAAAAACAGACGATTGCGTTTAGAAAAAAAAATCAGCAATAATTCTACGGGGATAATAATATAAAAGAACGAATAACAATAAATAAAATGGTATCTCGTACCTACATAATTGTAGGTACTTTTTTTCGTAAAAATTGTATTCGCTTTTAAAACATTATCAAGTAGGTGAGATAAAAGAAACAAAAAACAGAAGTAGCGTCAAATAATATTTATATTTATTTCATATTGCTATATTTTTATACCTTATTTTATTCGTACTAAACAATCGGAGTTGAATATATTTATTTCATGTAGATTATTATAATTTTTTTTTAAAACACATAATTTAAAATAGTAATTCACTATAAAATTTGAATACATTTCAAAGACTCAGCTACCTATAAATCTCCGTATTATTATTTATTTTGAAATCTATTAACAAAATACACTACAATGTTTAGGTTTATGCATGTCATCGTATTATATTTTCATATTGAATTTAAATTGTTGCCAACGATATTATTTTTAGGTAACAACAAAAACCAAAAGTGTTTTATTAATAATAATATGTGCGTATGCACTTGTTGCACGTTCGTATATTATATTTGTCATTTTTTTTTATGAAATATATATTTTGCTTGAAGCGCAAACTCGAAATTCCCTCATCTCAGTACTCTGGGATACTTTATAGTCGACAGTGAAATTCCCTACAGTACATTAGAGTATAGTTGACCACGAGTAATATTATACCATTAATTGCTAGTAAACTTTCACGCTGTTAATTTATACTTTCAAGGCTTCCATTATAGGAGCCGTGTAAATTGTTTCTTTACGGGAGGTGTGATCAAAATGTACAAGTAAAATTTAAACTTAAAACATTGTCATAGGTATACAATGTTATGCATGACGACGTGTTCGGGTTTCAAAACAGCAGTTTAGGTAACATATAAAATTGAAAGTTGACTTAATCGTATTCAGAGTTATATCAGTACTGACATTTTCACTGAACTTGTATACTATTGTATAAACTGTAATATATTATGACAATTCAGTACAAATAGGTAGATATCCCTACTCAATAATATCGGTAGGTATTTTTAATACCAAGTAAAAATATAGTTTAACACTGTCGAAAAATTAAAATTTCATACCGACATTTTTTCACACCTTAACTTTTTTTTAATTCCCTTAGGAATGCATAATTATTATTTTATTGAATTCATTAACATCAGTCAAAAATGAAATGTTTGACTGCATTATTCTTTTTTTCTCAATAGATACGAATCGTATAAGTATGATACATACACAATTATTTTTTTGAAAATTACCACATACTAAATTAATTGTTTAAATAATGTAGTTATTATATTCGTTAGTGACGATTTGAAATAAAATTAAAAATTATTCTATTCCCTCTTTAATCATAGTAAAATATATTTATGCTCATAGATCGAGAACCCTGCCTCGAAGTGATATCGAACATAGAAAAGTCAATGTTGATAGACTGGACACACAAGTTACTTCACTACATTATCATGTCGCAACTTTAAGTCAAGAGGTAAGTCTCACACACACACAAATTATGTTTTTATGAGTCTTTTTAAAATTATGAGTATTAATTAAACATTTTTATATTCTTAAAAATGTATAGTTGTTATTGTTAACAATGATTTGGACACATTTATCACACGATAAAGTAGAATTTTGAACTTTAAATCTATATAGCTAATAGTTTAATATACCAAAAGCGGAACTTAATATAAGGCCTGAAATTAAAAGTGACATTGGTATACCTATAATGTAGAAATTTAATTATGATTAAAACTTGAAACTTTTAACGAACCCTTATTCAATAAATTATTGATGAATAATTGAAATTGAATTACGTTTCGGTAGACAAGTAGGTACCTATTGCTGTTAAGTAAATACAAAAGTAAATTTATGATGGAAAGTGAACTTTCATTTTCCGGTATTATTTTTCTTCAATGACTATTTGCTTTATTATGCGCGTTTTGTATATGTACCAGTGTATTTGTTCGTATTCAGATATGTATTTTTTAAGACTTCGTTATTATTTTCACCAAGTGTTGCGTAAAAAATTTAACAATGCGCGAATGTGATACACGGATTAGTTCTTTGAAAACGGAATTGAAGAATCATCTCAGTGGAGCAACTTCGGCATGAATTATTTATATTTTATGTAGGTATACGGTGTATCGAAATTGGCTATCAGACATTAATTCATTATAAAAAAATCGGGTTTTTATACCTTTCAGTGTATCTTACGTTTTACTTTTCATCAAAATTATATACCGTTGATCAAACTGCAATTATATGGTAGAACATATTATTTTGATTATTTTTTTATCTGCAATCAGACGTTCCATATTTTTGTTCTAAATTCGGGAAAACAAAATATGCTGTAAAATTTAAAATAAATAACAATTATTTTTTTACATTTTAAAATACAATAAGTTCAAAATCATCTTATATTCTTATTTCATGCACGTCGATGGGAATTTTAAGGTTTCACTATTATCTATGATTTTAAATCGATGTTTTTAATACATTTGTATGTAGGACAGGCATCTTTTATTTAGACAACTCATATCCAAGGCTATTTATCAATAATTATAATTATTCTTAATAATATAATGGATGTCATTGCAAATTATAAGCCCTTGAAAAAAAATTAATTTTTGTCCATATCTCATAAATAATATTTCATTTTTTTTAAATACCTACGTTTTCTCATGATTCTATAACAAAACAAATAATAATAAATTGTTTCAGGTGCTTAAAAAATCCAAAGTGTATCGTTCGTAAAAGAACATAAATTGCTATGAATAACATAATAATATTATCTGAAACACAAGTGACCATTAATCGTACACTTAACGACCAAAATATTATAGGTACATTATATGGGTACCGTCCGTACCTGTAACTCATCAAAAAACACACATTAAATTATCATTCGGGTATTATAATATATATTATTATTATACTTTCCTGACCGACTTAAGTAAAAACAAAAATGGGAAACAACGGAATGGCAATAAATTCAAATAAGTGCTCACGGTGTTTATAATAAACGTGAGGCGTTCCAATTTTCGACGGGGGAGGGAAAAAAAACAAAAACGATTATAATAATAAATTTGCATTCTAATTTTAGTAAACGTTTTCAAAACCCTGCCAAGGCCCCGTTGTAAATTAAAGTCCTTAATTGTACGAGAGGAATTCCAGCAGAAACAATGTATAGTACCTACTGCAAAACTTTCATTGAGTGTATATTTTATAAACACAGACACCGTCGTCGTTGTTTTCTCACAGAAATCATTTAGTCATATCGCGAGTGTGTACAGCCTCGCCGCCGCAGAAGTGACTGCGATTGAATTAATTTTATAGAAAGTTAACGGATGTACTTTTGTGCTCTTCGATGTGCAGCAGCGGTGGGCCGTAAAAAATTGCGACCGTACATAAAAACCGTTTTCGTTTATGCGTGATATTATCGTTTTCAATATCCGTAAAAACGACAAAGGATATATTGTAATAGTTGTACGTATTGTGACATTATGTCACAATAAAAAAAGCTGATAGCGATAAATAAAAAAAACCTCCCCAAAACAATCCACTTAAAATATTTGTTTTTTTGTTTTTGTATCGAGGGTTCAACTACTAAGGTCATTAGCCTGGTACTGTGCGGGGGGGGGGGGGCGGTTGGTTGTAACTCGTTGGTAAGCGTGGCAAGGATGTGTTGCTAAAAACCCGGATGGTCACCCATCCGAGTGCTAGCAACGGTGGCCGATGGCGCAGTTTGGGGGTACGACCCGCCACACTTATAATATTATAAGCAGCCATATTCGTCTATAATCCATATACCAGATAGCTACGTTGTATTGAGTTAAATTCTGTTTCTTAAAATAATATTGCACTTCGCGAATAATAGGTAATACATAGGCAGGTTATATTATTTTACTTGTCGCACATAGTGTACGCGCAAGGTCGACTGGCTACCGCTACGTAGAGAGCAATCACTCACTCTGCTTATTTATCAAGTATGTTTGTTCAAAAAGTAAACATAGGTGACCAGTAGAAAGACGATTCTTCGCTAAGAATCAATTTTGTCGTGATACCTGAGATTTAAAATGTTAAACATTTTAAAAAATAGCTATAATAGCTGAAAAAAAAAAAAGAGTCGAAGTATTTCGAAAGTTAAACCATGTATAAATAATTCTAACACGAAACATTTCGAGTATCTGCTGTTAATTTTTTTCGAACTACAACAAAATATGAAAACTGTAAACCAAATTGGGTTTGTGTATAAATACCTGTTTTTCTCTAATTTTACAAATTATTACTTGAAAAATATTGAGAACTTTTTACGTTCTACCACTCAATTCTCCAATGTACAAAGCAAATACAATTTCTTACCAGAAAATATGCGATTGAATTATTCAAAGTGTTAAGTGTGATAAAAAGTGTCCAAGACAACGAGAAATACACCCACCATAATATTGCAAAATTAATACGTTCATAGCTTTTCTCGAAATCTGAATTATTCAAAATCATATTCTACTGTTGTTTTTAATTTCAACTTGCAGCATTACATACCCGTATTTTGTATATATTTAGGTATGTATACATTCTTAAGGTTTTAAAATATTATGAAATTTATATTTTACAAAATATTTGATTAAAGTGAAAAAAAAAAATAAAAACTATAGTTGATTAAACTAAATGTGTATAGTCATAAACTCACAGCACGAGAACATTTAAAAAAAATTGTTTCATTGTATCGAATACTCTAATAAATAGTTATTAAATAATTACTAGTAGCCAGGATCTAATTAATGAGTTCGAAAGTATACTATGATATTATAAAACCATTATATTATAATATCTTACAATATACACATCTACATTTACAGTCATTAACACTGAAATTCATAAACATCCGTTGATAAGTGTTATTCCCATCATCGATCTGTTGCGTGCATTCAAATCAATAATACTACAAATATTTATGTGACCGAATACGTTTGAAAGATAAAAAAAACATTTTTAATAATAATTTCAAATTCATAAGCATACGCGTCATATTATTCTAGACAATTATATTATAATATTATACACGATAGGCAATACACTGTATTGGACCGCATTCTCCAATTGTATACTTCGAATTATTCAAGTCCACTGCTAGTCCTGTCCAGGACACAGGATCTCATAGCCGACTCACTCGTACACACAAGCTCACCCGCTCATAAATACTATTATAATATACTAAAACAATATTATGCACACAATATCATGGCCGACTATGTGACAACTCATGTCCGTACAAGTGTCTAAATCCGAACGGCATGCGCTCTGTTTCAGGTGAAAAACGCCATACAAGCGCTGCAGGAGCTGGCGACGACCAGTTCGAACGTCAGGTATCCGTACTCGTTGCCGGCCAGGTCGAACCCGGACCTGCCGGAGAACGTCAAACGGCCGCAGATGGCCATCCTGCAGCGGAGCTCGTCGCACCCCCCCGAGGTGTTCGGCTGGGACGGCGCGGTGTACGACAGCCCGGCGCACCAGCCGCACCACCCATACGGCCTGCACCACCACCACCAGCACCACCAACACCTCCAGCAGCAGCACCACCTCCACCACCACCCGTACCAGCAATCGAACCAGCAGTGCCTGCCGTACCAACAGCAGCAGCACACCGGCGGCGGCGGCGGTACCGTTTACACGCATCCGTCGTCGTCGTCGCCACAGCCGCACCAGCAGCAGCAGCAGCAGCTACAGCAGCCGCGGTACTACCACAGGTCGTCGGTGGCCAGCACGGTGGACGTGGCCGTGCAGACGGACGTTTCGGGCGTGGACGTGTTCGAGCGGTTCGTCAAGGCGCACCGGACGCTCGTCCTCGAGTGGCTCAACGAGAGCGACCACGTGGCCGTCACAGTGTACGACGACGAGTCCGCGGCTGGCGGTGGGAGGCGACCGCGGAACGAACGGTCTGCGTCGTCGTCGTCGTCGTCCGCGGCGTCTTCGTGCTCGTCGCCGCCCCGGCAGACGCGCGCTCCCGCGGCCACGCACTCGGCGTCCGTGGCCGACACTCCCGTCGCCGCCGACGGATCTCCTCCCGCCGGCCGGGACGACGCGCCGCGGGAATGGTACCCCGGGGCCAACCCCCTGGTGGCCACTGTCAGCGAAGACAGTGGCGGCGGCGGGGGCGACAGCGGAGGCGGCGACGAGGACGACGGAAGTGGGGGCGGCAGCGGCCACGAGTCCATCGAGATGACGCACATGTCGCCCACTGCTGCCGCTGCCGCCGCCTCGGCGGAAGCAAACGCTTCCGGTCCCATTACGACACTTAAGTTCCACCCGTTCGTTTGACGACGACAAGACTGAACAAGACACACACACACGCACACACATACACACTCACTCTTATAGGTCGTAATTTCACGTAACGTAATACATGATAATATGTTATCTATTACATTATGGGGGGGGGGTTGTTCGTTGTATATTTTCTTCTTTCGTAACGATGTTCTTGCATTCGTCGCCACCCCCCCCCCCCCCCGAAATCGCCCTGAAAGCGTTTCCGTGGCAGCGTGTGACGCATATTGTATTAAAATATTACGTTCTGGTTCCTATTTTTGCCTCCGTACACGTTTTAATATTATAATATTATTGTATTATCATATAGTAGGTATCAGTGTGCAGTTACAGGGTGCTTTTTCTAGGCGCTGAACACTCCTCGACAGTTCCTGGCCCTTAGTTCCGGCCAAATCGACCTGTACGACTTGAACGTCAGAGTGAACTTTAGACTTTTATAACATTTTATACTTAGGCCGTGGTGAGGCTCGACACTAGTGAGGGCGGAAACACTCAGTGGCCCTGCAAGTGTAGAATTTGACGATTTTACTTACACCTCGTAAGTCTGTGTGACCGCCACCGATGGCGCTAATTGGTGAAACGATTACGGTAGCTCTGGTGAGGTAGTGGCTTGGGCGATATTTTTTACGAATTATCTATATAATAGCCGTGAAAATAAGTTTAGGAAAAAGTCGGAGAATCGGTGTTTTCCGTACATCGAAATAAAATAATAATTATATTATTATCATACTACAGCGCTCTTATAAGTATACCCACCTACGTCTTATCTATCTTATAGTTACGTGATTGGGGGGGGGGGACGTTTCGATCCGTGTAGTCGGAATACGGGGAGCGTTAAAAAAAATCCGATACAAAAACGAATTAAAACTCGGAAACGGGTGGAGTGATTTAAATCGGACACCGACACAACACCTCGAGTAAGCCTGCATGCGTGCTGGTGTATAATTATATATTATAAATTAAACAGGGCACGAGGAATTTTGTTCTAGTGATTTATAGACCACCATAGTGATTTATGCACACTTTATTCTAGTTTTTTTTTTCACTCTGTCCGTCGTACAATATAAAACCATCTTTTTTTTCCCGCCAGTCGTTTTACCGTTGTTGTTATTTTTTTTTATATTCGCAATTTGAAATTTAACCCTCCGAGTGAGTTTGTTTTCTTTTTTTATTCGATTCTACGCGGAATTAACAACAACAACAACAACAAAAACAACAACACAAATAATACCTACTAGTGTCGTTCGAAGATAAATTATTTTTCAAACGTATGTGTTTGTATAACTTGCTTTTCTCCACACACGCTGCCTGCGCCGCAATAACGGAGTCGAACGCGTTTTTCACAAAATAGAGCAAAATATAATAATAATAGTACGTATAATACTACACGATGATATTGTAATAGTATAATACGTGACAACCTCCCCTCGACTGTTTAAAATACGGTTTTCGATCAATCAAAGAATAACATCTATATAATAATACCATAATAATAATAATAATAATAATATAATGCCATCATTACGTGTCGCACAATAATAATAATAATATTTTCACATTGCATTGACATTCAAACGCGGAAAATAACGTTTCGACGAAAATCTGTTCGAATTCTTTTGCGTCGGTCGTAGGTATCTACTACTAGTGCGTCATATTTCGGTAATATTATTATGGTTGAGACCGAGGGTGTGAACACGGTCACGATAAAATATAATGGTTTGTCGCAATACCTAACAACGTTGCAGTTGATTGTCTCTGGTTAGCCCACACTAGCGTGGTAGGTACCGAGGTAAACTCTAGCGACAAATCGACAATAATAATAACAAATAACAATAACAATAACAATAACAATAACAATAATATTAAACACTCCAATCATATACGTATTCTCATTCGTACGCCTCAAGACGCGCTCTGTTTAATAATTAATATCGCCCTGTACATCTGACATAGATATCGTGTAATATTATGTTATTGTCTACCGGCTGCTAGAATTGTTGACGAATGTTTGTTGTTCGTAATCGAATCAAATCTCAGCTGCAGCGATGATAACAATGTTGATATTATTCTTTTCGGTCGTGGCAAATATTATTACGCAGGTTCGGAACAAAGGGTATAACCATCACCTCACACGACGCCATGCGTGTTGTCGTATTTTCTCGTAGTGAATTTTCGACGAGTGCAGGTGTAACGTTATTATTGTGATAAAAAAAAAAAAACCGATTTTCTTCGAATATTCGCCCAAACCAAACAAATAATGTACAAACGTTAAATAATATCAGCTTATTTCTAATGATTAAAAATTCTTTGAATACGTCTACCCACCTGTAATTTATCGGATTTGGACTACCCATATATTATCATTGTTTATGTCATCGTGGAGATAGTGTCGTTACGCACAGTCACTGTTGCAGTTTGATTTATAATTTTGACATCGGTAAACATCGACCGACAGTATGCATGTAATACATTATTTTTTTAACCAACCAAATACCGCCGAAGCGGGGTTATAAAAGAGAATGATTACGACATCGTTCACCAAAAAAATACCATTTTTCAGAAATTCTAGGCTGTGTCGTCGTTATCTATTAAGATTTTATTATGGCCTTATACTCCCGAGAACACCATACTAGTCCGATTGACGGACGAACTTCTCAGTCAAAAAACCTCTTAACGTATTTACTTACTTCTGAGACCGAACCGAAACAAAATATTATTCTAATATTTATTGTATAGTTTAAAACTGAATTTTACGAAACCATGGTGGGACCAAGATAAATTCAAATCCTTAAAAGTCTGTTTTCTAGTTGATAACACGCATAAGGCTAACGACGATTTCAGTACGTCATATTTTACAAACGCGTTATCAAAATGAAATCAGAAAATATTTATTCACCGTCACGCCAGCCATTCGAATTGAATACAACCTCGCGGCGATCATTAAAATATCATTTTATCAGGTTTTGAGTTCGAGAAAAATATTTTATCACGTCTCTGCCAGTAATTTAATATCGAAACTTTAAAAATTTGTTGTCGTGGTTATTTTTTGTTATTTTTAAAAATAATTTCACATCTAAAATTTCAAATAAGCATAAAAACTAATTACCTCCGACTTGGCTGCACTGGTCAAATGGGTTGAAGTCATATAGGTAAAAGTGGAAAATCTTCGTTCGCATTTTAACTAAATTATATAATTACCTTGTGTAATATGGTATGGCAGAAGAGTTTCTCTCCGCGGAGTCGTGATTCCCTCGGGAAAACGTTTTTATAATGGTTAAACTACAAAGTTTGCGGTCGTTTTATATATATAAAAAAAAATAATCTTAAGTAAATTACACTCGTCCTCGTCTGTCCAGAGCAGATAAGACAGCTACTTGCGACTCTCCTTCGATCGTCGAAACTTCAGAGATGTTTTCTCATTGAGATATAATAATTAAGTGTTTTTTGAATACCTAACACAGAATCCAATCATTTCGTGACGCATAATGGTTACCGATCACAACTAAGTTGCGAACATCGTAATCAAAACAATATCGATCAATCAGCGTTAAATCAATAATGCTGCTGTCATATTCACAGAACTCGTGAACATAAAAATAATATTTCCATTTCATAGAATTATAATAATCATCTACACGAGAAATGAGTTCACGTACGAGAAGATGATTTGACCAATTTAATTGGAGGGGGAGTGTAAAGAAGTCTAAATATTTTTAAAACGACACGATTCGATAAGTACCGACATTTTTCACAGGTAGTAGATTTTTAAGATAATACCTAATAGGTGAGCAATGAGCAGATTAAATGAAAAATAACTATAACAGAGTTCATTCAAAACGGTGCGTCGTTTCCTTGACACTTGCTAAGAGAATATCCAAAACACTGTTCCATGCGTAGTGCGTACCTCGCCCGAAAAAAAAAATTTCAAAATTATTTTTAGACCTTCTAACTACTTCCCACCTCTCGCCAAAAGGATTCGGATCACCCAAAAAGTGGTTTCCAATCGACTGAACTGTGAAAGTTTGACGACCGACACCTATATAAGCAATACCTATGTTCTAATACCAACACGGGGAGCGCTTTCGAGTCTTAATTATTATAATGGCTTTTTCACGTAATTTCAGGAGTGATAAATAATGAAACTAGAGAAATTCTACTACACGACTAGCGGTAATCATGCGGCGCCCTTTTCAATATTTAACGTGCCATAATATTATTAAGGAATACATACTGTCATCGCACCTTATGACGTCATTAATACATATTTTATTTTACACAAACTGCAATCTTCACACTCGCAACACCGCCCAGCCCCTCCACAGCCACATCACCACACCAACATTACCCGAACCACCTACCCATCGCCACCCTGTCTCCGCAATGTGATCACAGACCAAATATTATCATATTGTAATAAATCAGTCGGAATATTACATTATATTATTAGGATGAGTAGCAGTGAGCAGTGTTCAATTAATAATTAAACTATTTATTTTGTTTGTGGCTTGATTAGGTAGGTAGGTAGGTGGTAGTCGTTTTCCGACGCATTTTGCTGGATAGTAAATACTATTTTTGCGATTCGCAAGAATATAAAATAATAATAATAATATAACGTTATCTTTCTTCTACGTTTTCCGATTTTTCGGTTTTACATAAATGATAAAAAAAAAAAACAAAAAAACAATATTTTTTTTTCTATTTAGGAGCATCAGTAAAGAGCAGTCGTGCTGGCCCGGGGTTTTCCGGTATAATCACACACGAGTGGTTTTAGTATGCACGATACACTTTACGTTTAGCATTTTTTATTCCAAAAGTAATCAGCCTATGCATATATATTATGCGACCTTGTTCTGTTCTGTTTCGAACATTTCTTTTTCCTTACTTTTCTGTTATGCGTCTAAAAACTCGAGTGGGCCAAAACGACCAGACCTTCGCGGGGGTGATTAAAAGTTACCAACAAAAAAAAAAAAATAAATGAAAAGAAAGAAAGATAATTTAAACAATACCTTTCCCGTCTTTTTTCCGAGGGTGTTACACAGGGTAAATAATATAATCATTTATTATTGTGATATAATTACTATTCGTATTTTAAGTCTAGCTCTATGAAAACTGTTGTATATTTGATCTTAAGCACTATTATACTATTACATAGATGTACATAAATATATATATAATATATTACCTATAGTATATTTATTATTATTATAGTTAGAGAATAACATATTGTTTAGAATGTTTTAATTAAAAATTTAACTATTATCATATACATATATATGACAAAGATATGTGCGTAAATTGTATTTAATATTATGTTAGTATATTATATACGTAGTTAATATTAATATCATTATTGTTACTATATGTTTAAAATCGTTCGTTCATACTTGTTTTAAATTGCACACTTTGTTATTGTTTAATCCCATTGTTTTGTTAACATCTGCAGCGTTTCCGGATCGTAGAGTCTTGTTAGTAATAATAATTGAGTGATTTCTAGTCACGAACGTTGATCCGGAAAATAATTAATACGTTTTTAAGTGTTTAAAAAAAAAAAAATCCGATGGAACACAGACGCGGAAGCCTAAAAAAAAAATAACATGCATTTAACATAACATAAGGCATAGCAGTGCTCAAGAACTGGAAAATTAAATGACCCTATCACACCTTCAGAGTCTGAAGTATATTATATTCGTAAGATAATGCATCAATCAGTATGCTTGTACATAATGTTTGGACAATCACGTATAGGTCATCGTCCTTGACCTATATTTTATATAATTAAATAATATGGCGCGTTATCATTCACACGTATATTATAACATAAAATTGTATAATATT